AGAGAGAGAGAGAAAGAAAGAGAGAGAGAGAGAGAGAGAGAGAGAGAGAGAGAGAGAGAGAGAGAGAGAGAGAGAAGAGAGCTATTTGTTTGGTTGAGAACCGTTTCCAGACTCATTAACCATGAGTAACTATAGCAACCTGTATGCCACATCCCACTCATTTCTGCTGAAGAAATAACAACAAAAGAGTCTGATTTAAAGCCAGCACTGGGCTGACACATAATGCTAAATGAGTTCTTAAATATTCCTTTAAATTCTTTGTACAGCTTTCTTTTCAGTAATTGTTGTTATGGGCATTTTCCTTTCTGTTTTTGTTGTTTCAATACCCACTGTTTTTAGAAATCTTATAGACTTCTTTGTTTGCATACTGCGCTGGAGCACTGTCTTTAAGCTCTTGTGATAGTGATCTCAGGCTAATGTCTTTCCTTTATTAACCAACCTGGTGTGTCTCAGCTGTTTTGTTCAAGAGAGGGCAAGAAACCCTTGGTGCTCAAAGAAAGGATGATCATAAAGCTTAACCCTTTCATGTAATTCTGTTCCCCATAATATTAAACCCACAAAAGACCCAGGCAATAGATGATTTTTCTTACTTTCAAAATTAACATGACATTTTCCCATCTTGCACAAATACTGAGAGTTTTCTTTTTATCAAACACAATAGTTTACTATATAAGACTTATCTGTGGCCAACACTCCATAAACTGCCAAGCCACTTTTCAGCACACAAGGTCTGTTTTACATCTGTACTCACCTGTACTAACCAATGCCTCATTTCCTCAGGCCTATGAGCGTATGAGAAAATAAAAGAGAGTCTCTATATACACATGTGCCCACTATGTCAATGATTCCAGATTGCCTAAAATTGGCCACCCATTCCTTAAGACAATATTAGGCACTTTAAATGTTAACGTGCCTATGCCAATTTCCATGCTGATAATGTTTCCTTTGAAACAGAAAAGAGTAAAAGTAAATATCATATGCTCTACCCACACACAATCACATTCAAGATCATCTTTGAAACAGCCCACACTGCTGTGGAGAGATGTTTTCCGTCTTTATAAGCAAGCATTGATTCTTTTAAAAATTGTCTTAAAAAATAAGCTAGTGGGGGTAGATTACATATCACAGTTCCCATCTCCTAAAATGGGGATATATCATGTTCTAAGTTGCTACCTGGTAGAGACTTTTACACAGGGTGTCATTACCTGGATATCAATTGCCTACATGCTGAGATCTGAGACTCTCTGAAAAACTCTAATCCTGCTTCACCATAGGGTAAGCTGTCCTCTTGTATCTGATATATTACCCTTAGTCATTCTGTAAGAAACACTTTTCATCTTCAGAAGTTCCCCCATCAAAATGCAAATCGCACTCACAGGCCATGAAACACACGCTAAGGGGCTTATTTATTAGGCAGAATCCTAGGGACACAGGAGCTCAGGATTTCATTACCTGCTAGGAATACTTTGATGCAGATGCAAAAGTCTTCTTGCTTGCAGGCAAGAAAAGAATGACAGTGTTCTCCAGGGCCAGAGCAGGGAGAAGAGGAACAAGACCTGGAGCAAAACGCAGAGGCAGATCGTAAGGCTTGGTAATTGTGTTCTGATTCAAACAGCATTAATGAGTCATTTGTCATCTGAAAATGCATCTTTTCATTCATGGCTGGAGAGAAGTGCAATTTGGTGGGAAAATAGAGCACTTGAATTCAAAAGCCCTAAACTGGAGGAACTGGACTGAAAGAGCGTCCATGCAGAGCTTGAGTCTGGAATGTTTTAAAGTCAGTCTCATATGCACCAGCTGCTGCAAGACCTTGGGCAAAGCCACCCATCTTGTCAGGCCCTCTACCACAACATAGAGACAACAGTTGTGCCCATCTAAATAGGCTACTTGGGATATGGTGTCAAGGAAACAGATGCTCTGAGTGCTAGCAAAATATGAACAGGACAAGCACCTTACATCCACCCTTGCAGCTACCTACCATAGAGGAGGCCTTGGCACCTGCACCACACTTCAATACAAATAGGTTTTCTATTTGATCTTATTAATTAATCCTCAATCCCAGGACTCTAGCACAGACAATTTTGAAATATCTATTACTGTTTAAAAATACAATAATATTAAGAACACAAAGATAATATTAAATCAAACATTATATATTTAAAATAATAATAAATAGCAAATTAAATATTAAATATTAAAATACAAAAATAATATTAAAAACAAAGATATTAAGCAACTTGACCAAGCTTAGACTTGAAGTTGATCTTAGGTTGTCTGATCCAAGAGTTAAAATTTTTAAAATAAATTGTTATTACACTTATTTTTTATTTTACTTGTTTGCATGTATGTGCACACACACACACACACACACACACACACACACACACAAATGCCTGTGTGCACACCCCCCTGGACACAAATATAGATGTCACAGGATCGCTTGTAAGTGTCACTTCTTACCTTGCACTGTGTTTGTTCTAGGGATCAAACTCACCGCATCAGGCTTGGTGCTAAGTTCCTTGAATTGTTTTCTTTGCTGTGATAAATGTTATGACCAAAAGCAACTTGAGAGGGAAAGGGTTGATTTGATGTTACACTTCCAGATCACCGTCCATCACTGAAGGAATTTGGGGCAGTCACTCAAGGCAGGAACTTGGAGGCAGGATGAAGTAGAAGCCATGAAGAGGGCTGCTTACTGGCTCCCTCCCCATAGCTTGCACAGACTGCTTTCTTATACCCAGTACCACTAGCCCAGGAGTGGCATTGCCTACAGTGAGCTGAGCCCTCCCACATCAACCATCAATCAAGAAAACATGTTACAGGCTTGCCCACAGGCCAGTTGAGAAGGACTATGTTTGCAATTGAAATTCCCTCTTCTAAAATGACTCCAGCTCATATGAAGTCGACATACCTCTATCTAGCACATGCCTTAACTGAGACATCTGGCCAGTCCCACAGCGAGGGCTACTAACAATGTATGTTGTACATATGTCATTTTCCTTGATAATTATTGTATAACTATAATTGTTATTAACAAATGCTATACTCCTGAGGAATTTATCATAGAGGCTATATTGAGGCTAATGAGAAGGATAACATGTAAATGTATTTTCCAAGTACAAGTCTGATGACCTGAGCTGAATCCCCTAATCTACAGTGGAAGGAAACATGCTGCAAGTTTTTCTCTGACCTCCATGTGCTCAACATGGTATGTGCATGTCTGCACCCTCCCATCTACACATATTACCCCATCCACACCCCACACTTCCCCTACATGCTCACATGCCACACACACTACAAATAAAAGTGAACAAAAGACAACTTTAACTTTCCGTATCATTTTAATGCCTCTGGCTACTAACCACACTATAGCAAATACATTAGTACCTTTGAGGTGTGGTATTGGTGGTGTAGTGATGAGCAGGATAGCCTCCTTCTAGTAGTAGCCCTGTGAGTTTGTTGCAAAGCTCTTATACTATACACAGGTTGTTTTACGTAGACAAACTTCCCATAATGTTATTTGCTTTGTGAATCACATGGGGTGTTGTTAAAATGCAGTCCATGATTCAAGAGGTCTGGGTGAGATGATTCTAGTAAGAAGTCTATTTTTCTAACAAGTATCTAGCTGCTGACGTCACTGTGGCTGCTGCCCCTTCTGACAACACACTGAATTGATCAAGGAAATTTCTGGACACATTATTGATTAAATTTGTTCTTTAGCAATTTTATGGATGTATAATGCAATCTTACTGATCTCACAATCTTCTTACTCTGCCTTGTCTCTCTCTCCCTCCTGTTATCTCCTATCCTCCTGACAAGTCCAATTTTGAGGGGTGATTTGGGGCTATATGGCAAATTTTTCTCAAATTTTGACAAGTGAGCTCAATAAATATCATCACTGTGTTATGGAAGAGCTCTGCCTAGACTTTGCCATTCTGATATTAGAATAGTTTCTTGACTATAAATAAAAAAGCAGGTGCTTGCTATTTTACCTACTCTTTTAATTTATTAATCATTGGTTATGTTGAGGACTTGAGAACTCTGCAGTTTTCCTGTAAAAGAGTAAAGGATGCCATTTTTAATAACTTTCAAGTGAGAAAAATTATGAATGAATGTAATCCCTATCAGTAGTCTAAGATGAAATTTTGCCACCTCATCATTGGAGATAGTGACCAGATGTGTTAAGCTGAATTAAGTATGCTCTAACACTGTTTCTAAGCTTGAGTGCTTACAGTCTGGACCAAAGTGGATGCTATAGCTAGCAAGCTACATCCAAACTTGATGGGTAAACAAATCATAACATGAGCTCAGAGGATATACATGTAATCAAGAACTGGCTCTTAGCCCGCTACAACAGTTAATCTTCAACCAATTATGATATGCCAATTCTAGCCAGTCAGGAACTGTACACAGTGGTTGGACAGGGATTCCAAACAATTTTTACCCTGGAATTCTACCCTATTCTGAAGTCCTAAATTTTATCAAATTTACCTGATTTTCTTTTAGCAAGTGTCATCAAAAGAGAGCACAGCAGCAGCATGCATCCTGGTCTTTCACTCAGTTGGTCCTTCCTTTCCCAATGAGAGAGAAGAGGGACTTGGTATATTCATGTTGCTGAAAAGTTCACAGCAATCCAGGACAGGTTGCAGGATGTGTGTTCCTCACAACGTAATCTTAGAAGAAATGAAAACATTTTCAGTCATTCCAAACTGGCATGTGGCCCATGAAATCGAGAGGTTTTCATTCCCCACCTCACTAAAATCCAAGATATTAATGAAGTAAAGAACACATTGGGGCAGGGGGAGCAGTTTTCTTTGGTTTGGCTGATATTTGCTCAAAAAGATATTTTATCAAAGTCTTGAACCACAAAATTCAAAATCAATAGTACATATGTTGGTCACTATCACTGCCATGGGATTTCTTCAAATAGAAATACAATAAAAACCGAATAAGAAAAAAATCTGAAGAGACTCACTAGTTTTTGGAGAACTGATTTTTTTTTTTTAAATCAGGTTTCCAAAGGTGACTTGTAATAATGAGTGTGCTGGACAGTTTTATGTCAACTTGACATAAGCTAAGGTCAACTGAGCAGAGGGAACTTCAATTAAGAAAATGCCTCCATAAGATCAGGCTGTAAGCAAGCCTGTAGGGCATTTTCTTAGTTAGGGTTTGGTGTGGGAGGGCCCAGCCCATTGTGGATGCCATACCTGGGCAGGTAGTCCTGGATTCTTTAAGACAGCAGGATGAGCAAGTTATGGGAAGCAAGCCAGTAAGAAACACCTCTCCAGGCCTCTGCATTAGCTCTTGTCTCCAGGCTCCTGCCCTATTTGAATTCCTTTCCTTATTTCCTTTAATAATGAACAATGCTGTGGAAGTGTAAGACAGATAAACCCTTTCCTCTCCAACTTGATTTTGGTCATGTTGCTCTGGTTTACCTTGGATGGTTGTTGAATCCAAGGAATACATATATGTATTATCAGTCATTGAAAACTTGTAATCTCCATAGTAACCAAGTGATTTCTTCAATATGTTCTTATTCGTTCTTCTTTCAATATTCCAGAAAGTGTTGGAAGGGAAAACAAGGCCATGCAGGTATGAGAAGAAGCAGTTCTACTCTTTGTGAGGAGAAGCTGCCCTCACTCCTGCAAGTGAATGGTGCTGGGGGCTGACTTCAGGGCACCACACATGCTACTTACTTCTCCAAAGTTTTATATATATAAAAGTTTTCCATTACTTAGAAAATAGCTTCCATTTGATTTACAACTACTTTTTGCCAAATTATTGTAACATTAAAAAAGCAATTATGCGATACAAAGTAATGCTAAAAAGCATATTGCTAAACTGACGTTCCTACTTACGAGAGTGATATTCTAAATAAAAGAACAGAACATAATGTTCACTTGCAACTCTGACATTCGAAGAGCAGCTTCCAAATGGTATATGAGGCACAGTTTATAATTAGATTAATGTGTGATGTGGAAGGATGACCAGAAATGTCACTCAAGTGTGAATACCAGAATGCTTTTAGGGTGTGTAGTATCCATCCATACTATGAGAATTTATCAATGTTGTGCTTTTTATACAAATGATACACTTTTATTTTATTTTTTTTATTTATTTATTTATTTTTTTTTTTTTTTGGTTTTTCGAGACAGGGTTTCTCTGTGTAGCTTTGCGCCTTTCCTGGAGCTCACTTGGTAGCCCAGGCTGGCCTCGAACTCACAGAGATCCGCCTGGCTCTGCCTCCCGAGTGCTGGGATTAAAGGCGTGCGCCACCAACGCCCGGCATGATACACTTTTAAAAAGAAGAAATTGAGGACAGATTTAAAATATACATTTTAAAAACATGACATCAGAGAATTGGGGAGATGGCCTAGGAGTTAGAAGCACACACTGCCTTTTCAGAAAACCAGAGTTTGTTCTCAGCAGCATATCAGTGGCTCACAATCACCTGTAACTCCAGCTTCAGGGGTATCTGATGTCTCTGGCTTCCATCGGGACTTTCACTCATGTGCACATAATATAACAGAAAAAAGAAATAACATAATTTTATAACATAATTATATAAACATCATTTTCACATGTCAAAATTGAAAACAAGAGAAATAGAGGTAATGCTTCCTTAGAATAAGAGGTAACTTTTATAACAAAAAAAAAATAAGTGTTTAGCCATATAGTTTGGATTTGCTATACAAATGGATGGGCATCTCTTTTCAATATTTGATGAATCCAGAACACAACTCTGTAGCTGGAGTTTTCTCCAGTCCTGCCTGGCCCACGGTCAGGAGAAACCTCTCTCACCCACCAGCTCCAGAGTCCCTTAGACCCAACCAAGTAAACACACAGAGACTATTAATGTTTACAAACTGTATGGCCACAGCAGGCTTTTTGTTATCTAGTTCTTATATCTTAAATTAAGCAATATCTATTAGCCTATAAGTTTCCACGTGGCTCGTGGCTTACCAGTACCTTACATCTCGCTTTTCATGACATGGCAGTTGGCAGTGTCTCTCTGACTCAGCCTTCCACTTCCCAGAATTCTCCTCTCTCCTTGTCCTGCCTATACTTCCTGCCTGGCTACTGGCCAGTCAGTGTTTTATTTATTAACTAATTAGAGCAACACACTTAACATACAAAACATCCCACAGCATAGCTCCTTAAATCCCTATATGCACTTTTTTTAACTTTACCTTTTTTGTTTGTTTGTTTGTTTGTGCTGTTACTGGTTTGTGCACACATACTCATGCATAAGAAATGACTGCATTAAAAATAGTGACCCAGATAAACAGGAAGAGAATCCAAATTCTCAAAGAGATGTTCCATTAGCATACAAAATATATAGTGCATGGAATTATCCTGTGGGAGCCTAACAGCCCCTACACTCTAGGCTAAGGATGCAGAGCAGGCTTCTGTCCTCCTCCGTTTGGGATTGCTTTGGAATGCTGTTTGCGCATTTGGTGGCTGACTTAATGAACAATTCATTCTACTACCTCTAGGACCAGTTACACATATGTCTAAGAAGTATGGTTGCCAGATTTAGCAAATGAATAAGGCAAAACAGATTAAACACATTTCAGATAAAGTATTAGTATAGCTATATCCCATTTAACATCTTTATGTAACCATGCAACATCTCTAACCTAATGCACTCAAAATTATTCTTCATTGAGCTCAAATATATATGAAGTAGATGCCCTGTTTGTAAAACTGTCATTCAACTAAGAAGGTGACTTGGGGTTAGAGTAATTATTTAGGGCAGCAGTGGCAGCAATGGCAATACCAGCAATGACAGGTATAAGAGAAAGCAACAATTATTTGATGCCCTTTGTTCTGTATTCATCTGCTTTTTGAATCTTCCTAACTCACTTTGAAGATGTGGCTTCTCCAACTGTGTGGGTCACAAGCTCATGGACTGGATTCAGGTTGTGAAAAAACAGGAGTCTGTAAAAGGTTTTGAACACAAAATAAAATCAATTCAAAATCAAACACAACAAATCTGAGGTGTTTCTAGTAGATCTTGTTTATCACAGGACTTCGATACAGTGTTGGTTCTGAACACACACCATGCACATTTGATGATGACATTGTGTGAATTAATGTTTTACTGGGCAAGCAGAGCTTTCTACTCATATAGAAACATAAGAGTATAATCATAGAAAACAAAGTCTTTAAAAAATATTTTGAAATTAAAATATAATTACATATTTCCAATTTTCTTTTTCTTCCTCTAGCCCATTCCATGTACTCCCATACTCTTTATTAAATTCATATCCTCTATTTTTATAATTTTTGTTTTTGTATATGTGTGTGTGCATCCCTAAATATACAAATACAACCTGCTCAGTACATATAATGTTACCTTATCTAGAGTGACTTTTTTTTTTTTTTTTTTTTTGGTTTTTCGAGACAGGGTTTCTCTGTGTAGCTTTGCGCCTTTCCTGGAACTCGCTCTGTAGACCAGGCTGGCCTCGAACCCACAGAGATCCGCCTGCCTCTGCCTTCTGAGTGCTGGGATTAAAGGCGTGCGCCACCACTGCCCGGCTAAGTGACTTCTTTTTCTACCATCATTTCTCATCATTTACATATAACAGATTGTGTCCTATTAGAATGTTTGACTTAGAAATTATTGCTTGAGTTGCTGACAACTTTCATAAAAATTGTGTGAATTTTGACTTGGGACTAGAGAATAATTTCCAAAAGTTTTGACCCCACACATATTTCTGACAGTTTATACTATTCCTTTGTAAGAAGCAACATTCTCAGCCCTGATGACTTATAAATAAAACTTTTAATCAGTTTTGGAAATTTTGATGGCATGAGTACCACAGTGTCAAACATTCACCTGAAATTTTTATTCATTATGTAAAACAAACAAGCACATCTGTGTCATTAGCATGAACAACTGCTTTCATTTGCACAAAGCGTTACAAGTATTTGTTTACCAAGGGATTGTCTTCAAATACATTTTTAATTACTTATTTTCACTAAATGTTTGATTTATATCTCAATTTTATATACATATATCTATCTAGGGTTATAAAAATTTTCTTAGGCCAAAAGTGATCATGAGTAGGAAAGCTCCAGAAGCCCTGCTCTGAGGTAGATGCTTCAGAGACAAAGTTTCAGCTCGTTTCAAGTACATCGTTAGGTACCTAGTAGTCATTTGTGTCATTTTTTTTCACCTTCCTCATAATTCTCCCTAAAGAGTGTGGTGGTTTGAAAGAAAATGGCCCCCAAAGGGAGTGGCATTATTAGGAGGTGTGGCCTCGTTCGAAGAAGTGTATCACTGTTGGGGCAGACTTTGAGGTCTCTTTTGCTCAGGCTTCCTTCAGTGTGACAGTCAGTCAACTTCCTGTTGCTTGCATGATGTAGCACTCTCAGCTCCAGCACCACGTCTACCTGCACACCCTCATGCTTCCCATCATGATGATAATGGACTGACCCTCTGAAATTGTAAATGAGCCACCCCAATGAAATGTTTTCTTTATAAGAGTTTCCAAAATCATGGTGTCTCTTCACAGCAATAAGAAACCTCAACCAAGACAAAGAGGAATAAACTGAGACTATGAGATCCCACATCCAGTTAGTGTGAAAGATGACACCTTTGGCTCTAAACTATATGTAATCTGTATATACTCAGAATATAAAGCATTAGTGACCCAGGTATATTTAAGACTTTGGACATTTGAACCATGACTGGAGCTTCAAGCTGCCCTTCATTTACTCGTAGTCTTAATCCATGGTGACTTTGCAGCAAGCAAGTGCAGAAAGAAGAATGCTGCACATTCATGTGATTGACATGAGAAATGATTGACATGAGAAATCAGGACCACTGGAGATGGCTTATACTAAAAAGCATGAACGGAATGTTTTTTGTATACAACAACTGTTTGAAAGCACTGAGGAGCCACTGAGTAAGTAAGAACCTACAGAATAATTAAATCTCATGCCTTCGACTTCCAGGTTTGATCCCATGTGACGCCATCAACTCCATCTTGTGCAATGCATACATTCATCAATAAAACAGCCACTTAAAATCCATTATTTTTCTTTCAGAAAGCAAGTAAATGCAGAATTCAAATGTGAAAATCATCTATCATACCTTTATTCAATAAACTTATCTAAATTACTAAGTCTGAGATTAATTTATTAGTAAATCCTTTAAAAATCTCCATTAATTATTAATTTATCTGCCTCTCCTTTCTAGATATTCCGATTTGGAGTATATTATTTTTGAGAAACATCTATTATTAATTCTATGTCAGAATGGTAATAGGTTTCATAAATAATAACTTAGACAACTGTTCTTAATAACTAATAACTTATACCACAATCCTGTCACAACCATCAGGTCTATAGAGCAGCAGGATTAAAAAAGTGAAGAAAGATTAGAAATTGTTATGATGACTTTAAATCTTCATTCAGTTCAACATTTAGCCAATGGAAAAGAAGAAAAAAATTGTAGGAGGTTTTAGCTAACTGTTTTTTAAAACATCAAGAGTAAGAAGCCAAACTTTTTTGAGACTGCCCCAAATAGAATGAATATCTAAAACTAATTTATAAGTCTTATTTATCATAATAAATACAGCCATGCTGTTGCCTGTCATTCCCACAGCTTCTCATTCCTGCCAGCAGCAGATAATTTGAACAAGACACCCCTGAAGTCTGATGAAAAGCCACCACCCCACACTTTCTGAAACAGTGCAGATATAATTGCATGTGTCCCAAAGGAAGCAGTGATTCATGCTTCTTGTCTAATGAAAAAACAGAGGTGATTGCTACAGGCATTAGGGACTTCATTTTTCCAAATAATAATTCTATAGAGTGTAGGAAATAAAAATGAATATACTGAATAGTCTTTGTTCAGAAATTTAAAAAATGCATCTCTATGCAGAATATTTTCCTTAAGAATTTAGAAGTAATTCTGAGAGAGACAGTTGACATTTTATGTAATGTGTTAAAAAAAAAACAGAACATATTCTAAATCTTCTCTAGTACTCTTAAGCAAACATCTTAAAATATAATAGTAGTTTGGGGCCAGAAAGATGGCTGAGTAGTTAAGAACACTTTCTATGTTTCCAGGGGACCTGAGTTCAGTTCTCCACATCCATTTTGGGTGGCTCACAATTCCAGTTCCAGAGGATTTAATACCGTCTTCTAGACTTTTTTGGGTACCCACACATATGTGGCATACACACTTGTATGCATATGCAAATATATATATATATTAACAATATTTACATAATAGTATTTTATATAATAATATTTTCCTTAGAATGCCAAGAAAAAATAAGTACATTAATTTTTATTATATTTATCTAGTTATTGGGTAAGAAATCTTGCTATTTGTACTAATAATACCTGATATTTAGGCAGACAAATGGCTTTTTCAATGTGACAGACTTTCTGTTCCTCTTATTTATTAATTACCATATACTATCTGTGATATAACTTTACCACAATAGTTTGTAATGTTATATTTTAACAGAATAACTATTATAGAAGAATATCTTCTTTTTTAATTTAATTTTTTTTCCTTTTACATACCAACCACAGTTCCCCCTCCCTCCCCTCTTCCCACTGCACCCCCACCTCGCTCCACCCACCATTCACTCCTCAGAGAGGATAAAGCCTCCTAGGGGGAGTCAACACAGTCTGGCATATTAAGTTGAGGCAGGACCAAGCCTCTCT